AGCAGGGTTTTGTAATGTAATGTTCCTCCATCACCACTAGTATTGATGCAGGGGTAAAAATACCCTTTTCAAATGGGGAGTAAATGAGCTTTTATATATCCTTCTTTTCATTTGTAGGAGGAAGCTGAAATACAAGCAGAACTTGAACGCTTGGAAAGAGTTAGGAATCTTCACATAAGAGAACTGAAAAGAATAAATAATGAAGATAACTCACAGTAAGAGACTTACTATCTTAATTTTGTATGCCTATTTTTAAAATAATGCTCTAAAATCACATTTTACCTACAGGAAGACGCTTATTCATAGGTTTTTATTTGCTTTTCTGTGTTTATGTATATATTTTAAACATCAGCTTACTTAAGAAAATAGAATTGCTCATACTTTGGTAAACTTATTAATGGTTTTGTTGAATGTGAAAGAAATAGCATAGACCATATTACTTGGCTAAAAAAATGCTTGGAAGAGAACCTAATGCAATTCACTTAGCTGACAATAATGCAAGAAAATGGCAGGGAGGTTTGATGCAACAGCAGCAATTCTGTGCTGCAGTTAGAATTAGTTTCGGTTTTGTGGCACTGTGATTTCATTCCTACTAGGTACAGGTACCTAGCAGAAAAAAAAAAAGGGTTTATGTTAAATGCTACTCTGGACTTCACTCTGAATGATGGTGTGTCATAATGTGAAATTGTTATCTAGCTATTGGTGCGTACATTTGAAATGAAGAATTACATAACATAAACATTTAAGTCGCTTTTCCATGATGGCAAATATACTAACATTACAGTTTCGCCAACACTTGGAGCTGTCACTGTTGTTTGAAAGGAGCTGATTCTGCCTCTCCCTGGCGACTTAACCCTGTTTCCTTTCACATGTTTGCAGTGGCATTTCTTTACTAAACAGATACTGGAAAATGATCCAGGTTAAAACCAGCTCCTGTGGTTTCTTTTCCTGGATTCACTTTTAACCCTGGATCAATTTCCTGGTCTAGTTCTTTACCCCAGTTAAAAAAATGTTTATACTGCCATGAGGAGAGAGGGCGGTGCAAGGGTGTAATGAGCCTGGGGGAAGGACATGATGGGACTGGACTTCTCTCTCTCTCCACTAGCAAATGTTTATGAAACAGTAGGCTTAAGCCTTCAGGATTGATTTTATTTTATTTTTTACTTTTTAGACACAGTAGAATTATATATCCACTAAGGCTTTTAAATGGTAGAAGATCAAGATGTGAAATTATACTTAGCTGTTCTAATGGTTCCCATACCTACCCTGCAGTAAGACAGAAATTTTTTGTTACTGTGTGGCTTTAGTACTAATTGATAGCTAAATTGGTGTCGTGTTTTGGATATGAAAAATAATGGGTGTTGATGCTTACAATATTTTCTTTTAAAAAGAAATAACATATAAACAAGGAGATGAACTTACAACCTTTTTTAATCTTCAGCCTTTGCATTAGAAGAGTTCTTTTAGAAGAGGGATCCTTCAACAAGGAGGAGTAAATGGCACAGAAAAATAACAGGCTTTGACTGTGTGAATATTGCATAGGGGGGGACAGAATGTCCAAGTTACAGTCACAGTTGAGAACAGTTACAGGACATGGATAAGGAGAAAACGGCAGCTTCACTGCACCTTTTCTGCAGTCAATGTTGACACATTTTATGACACAGAACAAAAAGCTTTAACTGTGTGTTCATATTTTTGTGGGAGTTTAGATAAGTGTTTACCAAGTGGCCAGGCTGCGGCTTATGGTCATCATATAGAAGAGAGAAGCAATGGAGTAATTTAGGTCTGTAGCTCCTGCTGTCTTTACTGGTATGTCTTGGCAGTTTGGCTCTTTGGTAAGGGAGAGGGTTCTGAGGCAAAGCAGCTGTTAGGTTCTTACTCAAATCCTCTGTGTTGTTTTAGCAACAAGTCCATCTACCCATGTATGCCCTGCCCAAGCATCCCAAATAGACTGTAGGCAGCAAACTCACCTGTTGGAAGTTCCAGCCTTTACAGTGAAGAGAAGGAAATATTGCCCAGTTTAGAGATGGGTAAACTTGTATGTCTACCTGTGTTGTTTTACAACTGGATTGGGATAACAGAGCAAGTAAAGAGTGCGAGTTAGTGCTTCCCTGCCTGGGTTTGGAGCCCATGTGATGTTGGGGTGCAGATTCTGAGCCACAGAGAGCCACACAGAGTAGCAAAAGCAGCAGCAGAGAGGAAAGGTGGTAAGATTGCTAAGATTGGCCCTACTAGAGGCACACATGTATCAGAAGGACTAAGAAAATATGAATTGAATTTGTTGAGTGTGGTTTTAAAGAATTGGGCTGCTGGTTATGTGACTGCAATTGCCTAATGATGCTACCTCTACATTTGTTATTTCTTTGACACAGAATGCTTTACTTGCTGGTTATGATTTTAAAAAAAATCTTTAGCATTGAAATACATATCCTCATAGTGAATGAAAAGTTTCATTTCTAGAAGGGGCACAGTGAGCAAGAATATACTTCTTCCCTCAAATGTCTGACTATGGTGACCATACTCTTCCAAACTATAGAGAATGTGGAAGGATGAGATGACCGTCAGACTAACCCTAAATACTTCCTTAAAGCTTTCTATGAAATATAATTGGCAGCTTGCCCTAGGTTCATGAGTACAGTTGTCTCATCATTGCACTAAAAATGTGATTGAGTGTTCACCTCCTTTCCCCCAATTGGATGGAAGGATGTATTCCTTCTGCATGTTTCAGGAGAGAGAGAATGGTCCTTTTTCTCTGTCCTGCAGCATTTGGAAGGAGTGTTTTCTTTCTGCTTTTGCTTAGAGTATGAGCAGATATTCAATCCTCTGGTGTTTTCCCCATGTTGCTGTTTCCTATTTAACTTCTTACTGTTATATAAAATCCATTTTGTTAAAAAGAGGCAGGAATGTACAACAGGTCTGGTCATGTTTTGAGTGAGATTGGAAGAATATTCTTGTCTGTGCCAGAAAGGCAAAGTGTGAGACTTCTCTAAAACTTGACACAACAAAGAGAGACACTTTGTCGCATGTTTAAATTCAAGCATGCTTTTCTTATCCTCACAAAAATAGAGAAAGATAACAAAAGGTTTACCAGAATTGACTGTTGGTGATAGCATTTGTACACCAAATGGTCAAAAGGTACTGAAATTGATCATGTTGTATAGTTGTGCCATAAGGTTTCATGTGGTGTAATGTTGTTCAGCATATTGTACGTTGCTTTTAAAAAGAAAACTCCATTTGCTAAGTAATACTAAGAGATTTACATTTTAGATTCCATTTGTATACCTTACATAGAATTAAATGAAACTTTTTTTCTTCCAAGATTCAAAGATCACCCCACACTGAACGAACGGTATTTGTTACTCCATTTGCTTGGCCGAGGTGGCTTCAGTGAAGTATACAAGGTAGAGTGTGTTGAGTCTGAGGAATGTATGTGTTTAATTTGGGGGGGATGGGACGGGACCTGAATGAAGTAGAAAGATTGTAATGTGGTATACTTAAACGCTGGTTGAGTAAACTTCAGTTAACCCATGAAGAGGAGGTAGCATTACGATAAACTTGTCAATAGACTTATGAATTACATGCCAGTTTTTTTCCTCTCTTTATTGGATGTTATTTTTATCACCTTTGGTTATAACTTTCCCATATTTCTGGGTTTCTTTTTTAGGCTTTTGATCTTTATGAACAAAGATACGCTGCTGTGAAGATTCACCAGCTTAACAAAAGCTGGAGGGATGAAAAGAAAGAAAACTACCACAAGTAAATATTAATGACTTACGCTTCATATGTTCAGCTTAATAGCATGTTACTGATTGTAGAAGGTTAATGTATCCATCTTCTTTTAGACATGCCTGCAGAGAGTATAGAATACACAAAGAACTGGATCACCCCCGGATAGTTAAACTATATGACTACTTCTCCCTGGATACAGATACGTAAGTACATTTTCTAGGACTCAGCAAGGATTGCAGTGCTGTATATTAGATAAACAGAAATGAAGAGTACTGGAACAAAAACAATGCATGTTCTTGCTTTCAGCTGAAACACTTAAAGTTCCCTTAAGACACAAAAAAACCCAACCCAAGCCCACACTATTTACAGAATTTTCACAGAATAATCAGGGATGGAAAGGACCTTTGAGGATCATAGAATCCAACTCCTGGCCCTGTACAGGACATCCCCAAGAATCACACCCTGTGCCTGAGAGCATTGGCCAGTTTTGTCTCAGCTAAATATTGTAGGCCTTCTGTAGAGTGATGAAGGGAGTGTTGTGCAACACCTGACTAGCAAGCCCTAACATCTAAAGGGATAGTTAATGTGTTTTCCTTTTGAGAAATGTCTACTGTAAATAAAGGTTTGGGGTTTTTTTTAACTGAATCTCCCTATGGATTTTCTATTTAGTGAGTATGAATGTTCTGATTTATATCAGTTTCCATAAGCTAATAGTTACACCATGTGTTCCATGAACAGCTTCATTCATAGAGTTTAATCTTCAGGCAGCCATTCTTAAACTTGTCAGTATGAAACTAGGTTGTCATGTCTGTTTCTGATTGTGCAGTGTGATACACTACTTAATTTTGCCTCTGAATCTTACCCTAGGTTTTGCACGGTGTTAGAATACTGTGAAGGCAATGACTTGGATTTCTATCTCAAGCAGCATAAATTGATGTCGGAGAAGGAAGCTAGGTCCATTGTAATGCAAATAGTAAATGCACTACGGTATCTCAATGAGATCAAACCCCCTATTATACACTATGATCTTAAACCAGGTAAGTGAGGAATGTTACAGTTGAAAATGTAATTTGAAATTTTTTTTAATCCTTTCTTTTGTTTGTAAGTCATGCCTGAAAATGTCAAAATTATCTTCTGTGTATCAAGGTTATTGTAAACAACCAAAAAAGTGTGTCATTTGCTTTCTGGTTTCATTGCCAGAATCATCTCTTTTTTGTGGAAAATGTTTGTTATAACTTTCCTACTTTACACTATTTTTATATGGTTTTGTAGGAAAAAAATCATACAGCTAATAGATACATCCATTGGTAGTTAGCAGGATAAACACATAAGATCATTACTTGGCTCAGTCCTGTCTGGTCATTTTCCCGTATGTATTTTTTAGGCTGTAAAGGATTGAAATAGATAATCAGCTGCTTTGAGCATCACAACATAAGCACTCCAAAACAGGACTTTACAGAAACTTTTTTTTTTTTTTTTTTTACAATTAAGAATAAGCACTATCATAAGTGATGTGTCCTGTCTGGTTTCATGGCCTTTGTGTCACCACCTTGCATATACTCTTCATACTTTTCATATGCTGTAGTCTGCTACACTTCCAAGTGTGGGGTTTATAAAGTAACTCCTAGTGCCAGGCTGTTTGCTTGCTGCTGGGTGATAAATTGTTCATACAGGTTTATCTTGTCTTATGGAATTGGACAGAAAGTACAATTAATCTCATTAGTTTTGTTCTCAGAGGAACTTCATCAGATAATTCTGATTATCAAGAGATTATTGACACACTTTCCCGCATGCAGTAAGATCCATAGTATTTCAGCAGTTTCTTGGCACAATTTTGTGGCATATGCAAGTTGTGAAACCTGCAGTGTAGGATTTGTTCTGGCAGAAAAACAATGAAACTTCATTGTAACAGGCTCACTGCTGTACTGTGGTGTTTCTCTGCGGAGCCAGCTCCCAGCTGAGGGAGCCATTTCAGATCATGATGACAACCTAGAGAGTTACTGAAACATGTCATAGTCAAGTTACTCTAGACTTAAGGATAGACAGATGATGTGAAGTTGTCACTTGCCCCTCCTGAAGTTAGATGTTCCTGAAAACTGAGCCTGATTTTGAAAATAAAGCATTCTGTTAGCTCTTTTGAGGTAATTTTACTTCTCTTTTTTTGTCCTCCTGAACAGGTAATATCCTTCTTGTAGATGGAACAGCATGCGGAGAAATAAAAATTACTGATTTTGGCCTGTCCAAAATAATGGATGATGATAGCTATGGGGTGGATGGAATGGATTTAACTTCACAGGGTGCAGGAACTTACTGGTAATGCCTGGTTTGATTTTGCTGTTTAGACTTTGGGTCATTGTTCAGATTTCATAAATGCTCTCTCATAAAGCCAATTCGGAGAGAGAAGTAGGACTAAAAAATACTAACATAAATGACAAACACAGGTTTTTGTGCAGTACTGTGCATGTTGATGTTCCCAAATGTTAGAAGACTAACATAACAAGTAAGATAAGAGAGTGAGTGTGTGTTTTTTATTTTTGCGCTTATGTATGTATGTATGTATTTAAATATAAATGTGGAGCTGATCACTGTGATTTCAAAACATGGTTTCCCCTGAAGAAGCAGCTGTTTAGTCTTTGGCTGTTGGTGGTTGAAGAGATTTGACAGAGCCATGATGAGTAAGTGTGGGTGCTTAGTACTTGGAAATCGTAGAGCAGGGATTACCAACAGGTAATGTCCTTAGGACAAAGAGAATTCACTGTTGCATCCTAAAGGTTAATGACAGCTCAGCAGCTGTGATTTGCTTTCTGTGTGCATTTGCTGCTTGTCCAAAACACAGGAATGACAATAAGCATTTCATTGCTTACAGACAAGCTGTTTCTAGAATTTGCTCTCTAAAGATGCAGCTTCTTCATGGCACAGCAGGTCTCTGAGCCTGGGTGCATGGTGCTGTCAGGGGGGTGGATCAGAAAACCTCTGTTTGCCAGGCTGTCACTTGTCAGTTCCTTTGCTTTTTCTCTCCTCTTTGTGCCTGTAGTAAGATCAGAGTCAGGAGCTGAAACCTGACTAAACAGAGAAGTCAGTGTCATTCCCATTTGCTTCGCAACCTCTCCCATATTGGAAGTTGTACCTAATAAAGTTTTTGCCTTTTCCTCCAAATAATTTGGAAAAGAAAACGCACATTCTCTTCCACAAGTGCCACTCTGCACATGCTGTGAAGACATGATTAGTGAAGTTGAAGCATTTAAAAAGTGTTAGGCTTTTGCTACTCTTTCTAATGCTTTACCTATTTAATCACCAGTTGAAATATTTCATTGTAAGGAATGCATGTGGAAAACATTTTGGCCTTTGGATTTCATCTGGAATGCCCTAGGCTCTGGTGGTGCTGTAAACTAAGAGGAAAAAAATAAATCTATAACCATTACAGGTTCGTGATGAATATCTGTATTGCTAATCCACACCTTCTCTGAGCCCAGACTCTTCATTAAGGAGGGAAATCCTCAGAGTGAGTTTGAGGTGGAAAATGAGTCTGTTCAGAGTGCATTGCACAAGCAGAGTCCTGAAAGGGATTTCCTCAGTCACTGTGTCCAGCTACCTGCCCTTCCAGGCAGTTAGGTCACATAATCTCTTCTGTAAACTTACAGACGTTTGTATTAAATTTAGTTAGTGTTTTGTCCCCAGTAATCTGATTTGAAGTGTCTTCTGTAACCTCAGTTCTCTGATCATTAGAAACCTAATCCTCTAATTTACAGACTGTGTTTATTTGTGGCCAGTTTATACTTGCTTGGTCCTGTACCAACACTGTCCACCCTCAGGTAGGTTGTTTCCCTTCCTGGTACTTGCTCCTTAGTGTTTTTATAGCCTTCCCTTTCCTTCCCTGAATTGTAGGCTTTCCATTCTTTGACGATTCTACGAACTTTCTTTGCACTTGCATCACTTTAAGCTCCTTTATCTTGATTGCCGTAGTCAGAATTGTACAGGAGTATACCAGAGGAGAATTTGTGATACTGTTTAGAAAGAATTTTTACATTCTTCTCATTTTTCTGTTTATTTGCAAACTTCCATTAAAGCTTTCCATGTTGTTGATGAAAGAATGCCTGTTGTGTAGGTGTTCTTAATAGTTTTTATGCCTTTGTCAAGGTTTATTCAGATGGGGTGGCAGCTAAAATAAATGCTAATTGGTGATTTAGGTAAAAAGTGTTAGTATTTGTGCTGTATGAAATAGAGCCTCTGTGTGACTGACTGCAAAAACTGTAATGTCAGTTTTGCTGGGTGTGCAGGGTGTTGGAGTGGAGATTATCAAGCAGCTGTACAGTTGTCAAAAGATTAGAAAGGAGTACCTCGGGTGTTTGAACAGTTTGATCATTTAACATGTTCTAGTGGTGCCAGACTTGCAGACACTGAGGTGTATGTTTTGTTTTCCAGGTACTTGCCTCCAGAGTGTTTTGTAGTTGGCAAAGAGCCACCAAAGATTTCTAATAAGGTTGACGTGTGGTCAGTTGGAGTAATCTTTTTCCAATGCCTTTATGGTAGAAAGGTAAGGAAAATGCTTGAAAACCTTAAGAGTGTTAATGTAAAAAAAGCCTGTTCCAGTAGGCTGTGAATAGCAGTCATAGAGACATGAATCTGTGTGGAAGGTTACCTGTGTTACTCTCTGACAGTGTGCATTGATTAAAAAATCTTGACTGCAACTTTCTATTTACAGAATGGTTAGCAGTTTGTATTAACATTGCTACCGCTGCCTATAGCATACATATGTATGAAATCAAAGTAGTTGGATAAATTTCATTAAGAGAATGATGTGCTTATTTTTCAGCCATTTGGCCACAATCAATCACAGCAAGATATCTTACAAGAAAATACAATATTAAAAGCCACAGAAGTTCAATTCCCTGTCAAACCTGTTGTAAGCAACGAAGCCAAGGTAACTTTTCATCTCATCTCTGAGTAAAACATTCTTCTTAAAGGATTCTGTGGTAAAATGGATGTAATGCAAGAATGCTGTGGGACGTAACGACTAAACATGTGGCAAAACATAATTGGGAACTAGTATTTTGATGTTTTTATTTAAGCAAGCTTATTCTGGGACTTCTCAAAATCACCTACTTCAAAGCAAGACTATATGTGTGTATATATATATATTCCAGAAATTTGCAAGTGGTTTTAAAGTAGGCCACCTCAAAAACTGTCTGCTTTGCTTTTTCCCAGAGGACTTTGTGTGTCTCGTTCAGGCTGTCTCACTAGAAGTTGTGTGAATACTTCTGTTAACAGTAACAAGCTCTTTCTGAAAACAGTGAATGTTATTCTCTGCAGCCTTATTGGCTCGAAGAACTATTTGGCTACTGAATACCTGGAAGATATGACTGCGAATACACTTCCCCTTGAAAGGTCATAGTATGTGTGTATTAACTCAAAGCTGAGTTTAGAAACATGAATTCTTAAGATTAAGAATCTAGGAGCTATTTTGATGCTGATTCAGGAAATAAAACTACCAAAATAGTTGATATGCCAAAAAGGTGTGAATGGCAATGTGTCCTGCACTTACAAATTTTAGGATCAAACTCATCTCCACAGACCAGAAACAGATTTTCTACCATAAGCATCTGTAACACAACTCCAGTGCTGTGGATATGGAAGCAAACATTATATGTGTGTTATTTGTTTGTAAAAAATCTCCCCAATTTATGGACAGATGCAGTAGATGTGCTCTGAAAAAATTGCAAATAGTGAAATGGCTATTCATGTTTCTGCAGCTAATTAAACATACTTAGGCTTGGGACACAAGCTGCAAAAAATTCTGGAATGTTAAGATGCTTTGAAAGATTAAAAGGAAAGGAAACCTATTTCTAGAGGCTGTAACTTCCCAAGAAAATAAGTCTTTTGGGTCCATAAATCTGCTGTTAGTGGTACATTTCTGTTCTATTTTCTAAAAGTAGTGTTAGTGAGCCAGTTGCAGTTAAGGTTCTGAAAAGGTGGTTAAGAATTGTAGTTAGTACTGTGGTTTATTTCGGTTGAGATTTTTGTGCTGGTTTTTCACCTCCATCAGGAAGAACTGCCCCTAGAATACCCATAATCTAATGCTAACATTACATGTTGACAGTTTATATCCCTGTCTCGTTAGTAGTGTTTATACAGAGGATGTCAGGACAGAGTAGACAGTTCAGCATGGAGAATTCACAGCTTTTTGCATTCTCTGTGTATTCCATGCTCTGGTTGAAAGACTGAAATAAACTTCCAGTGTTCTCCACTCTTATTAATATTGTCATGATAAGAGAGGGAGAAATCACTCTCTGGTGGAAATGCTATGGAACAGTTTCAGACTAACTTGCACATGCAGACCATTTATGATGACAGTGTAGAATTCAAATTGCCTTTCAGATTTATAGGCCTGGCAGTTGGAAAAGAACAGCTGGTAAACTGAAATTCTGATCTGGATAACGTGGAACCTGAGATGACATTGTTAGTCAGCTTTCAGGCTGTAACTGTCTTTGATCCTCTTCACTTTCCCCTGCTTTGTCCAGTGGTCTCCTTTGCTTCATACTAATTGTCTACAGTGCCATAGAATCATGAAGTATTTTAACAAGATTTTAGATAGAAACTGTTCCTCTGAGGAGCTTGCAAATAACATTTAGCAGTTCATTTGTTATGAAGAATTTATTGTGAAGAATTTAATTTAAATCTGTAATGTACAAGAACATAAATATATTTTACCAGATGTGCCTGATTTTTATTTTGTACCTTGCTAATGCTGGATATGTAAGTGATAGAAATAAATTCTAGCAGGATTCTTTGGAACTTATATCACAGATTTTTTCCTTTAATCTTCAGTTTTTAATTGGAGCAAAGAACAAACAGCTGAACAGATTTATCAAAGAAGAGATATGTAATTCTTTTAAATTAAGTTCTAAATTAAGTAATGATGTGCTAATCAGTTCTGTAGCAATAATAAGGATTTTCTATCATTAAATGTTGAAGCCCAAGCTCTCAGGAGACCAGATGTTCTGTGTGTGCTACACATAAGACTTGACAGAAACTTTCAGCACAAAATGATTGGCATACACTGTATGGACCTAACCATAGGGTATCAGTGACTCAGGAACATTCCTGAAGTTAGCTACAGAGTTTTCCAACTCATTAGATAATTCTAAGCATGTGGGATTGAGTTATTTTCTGAGAAGGGAGTTTGAGCTAGGCAGTGATTTTGTAAATACTCTTCATTTAATGCCTACTGAACATGGCAGCCACCACTGTCAGCCTGCACAGTTTGCTGTGTCTCAGCACGTGTGGAAATGCTGTTGTTGAAGGTCATCTCACACGTTGAGATTCTGTCCCTGCAGCTTCCATCTGCTCTTCAGCACAGCTCGGTGCTTTCAGCAGCTCACTGGAGAAAGGAAAACAGGTCTCCTCTTCCAGTCCTCTGACACTTGCTCCTGGTTTTTACTAAGCTGTTCAGGCATAGCACATGCAGAATTCTAACTGGATGAGGTGCTGATGTTTTACTTGTACGTGTAGTTCCTAAACATGGAAATACATATTTGAAGCTAATGAGTTTGCTGATTTAT